ATAGTTACATTCTCTTAATGAATAGAGGAATTTGTTCTAATGGTGTTTGTAAATAGGATATCATGTCTGCATCTTGTACAGCAAATAACCACTAGGAAGAGAGTATGCAATGTGTTTACTACTGAAACTGTCCTACCAATTTGATTTGAAACTGTCTCATTGGTATTTGTTTATCAATAAAATTATGGAAAAAATAAAATAAGTTTGCTTTAAATTGCATGTTATTTTCAGCAGCATGATAAACTCTCATGCCATCCCACTTCCAGTGGGACAAGACTCATTCTTTTGCCCAGCATAGCCACACTGCATACACTGCCCACCTGGCAGTGAATAGTCAGTTACCTATCAGATTGCCTGGAATGGAATCATTGTGTTCTTAGTCAAGTAACCTACATTACCTAATAATGGCCACAGAGATAAGATAGTGATGCTGGAAATTCAGATACACCATAGAGAAGCCATACAGTGTTTTCTTTAAGTGAACAAGAAAGAACGAAGAAAGGTACTGAAAGAAGGCAATCATGTGCTGAGGTTGATAAGATCTGATGAATCTTCTATCTGTGAAATTGTGATGAAGGAAAAACAAACTCATGCTAATTTTGCTTTTTCACTTCAAACTTAAAATTATATTCACATAATGTGCTCAGTTAAAATAAAAAAGGTATTAAATTATAGGGTTCAGTACTATCTGTAGTTTGGGTTTTGTCATATATCTCCTGTGATTAAGGTAGACTACTAGGGGCCGGAGAGATGGCTCAGTAGAATAAGCACTTCCCTGGCAAGCGCAAATGCCAGAGTTCAATCACTGGCTAAGCCAACAAAAAAAGGGGGAGAGTGTACTGCTATATTTATATTTTGATTCTCATTTATAAAATATATGCACATATTTATAGGCATAAAACATCTGTTAGACACTCAACACTTTTTTTTGTATTTTTTAGTAAGGGTGTACATGGTCTACAGGGTCTCACTACATAGATCGGACTCGTAGTGATCTGCCTGTTTTCAACCTCCCAAAGAGCTGGGATTACAGGCGTGCACCACCATGCCCAGTCTCAAGTGCCATCTCAGCACGCCCTGGAGGCAGGACCAGCATTGCACACCAGGGATTGAACCCTGGCCACTGCATCTGCCTAAGCAGATGCTTTAATCCACTGAGCTATTTGGCCAGCCCTTAGACATTCAACTCCTATCCCAGTGGTTATCTCTGTTATTTTTAATTGGTTTTTTTACTGTTTATTTATCAACCAATTTCATGCAATCCTACTCTAAATTAGTTAGGACAGGATTTGATTTATAGATTCTACTCCTATATTAATTACTTTTCATAAATGCTTTAAATGCAGAAAGCAAGTTATATTTGTATAAGTACAAAGCCAAATCTTGTCCCGTGAAGTCTCCTTAACTTAGATTAATACTCCCAAAAGGAGCAGGGGATATTGCATGTCTAGTAAATTCCCAATGGAAGCTTAATGGCTGCAGTAACCTTTTGGAGTATTCTATGGGTGGCCTCAGGTCTTATGCCACGTATAGGCTCCTTGGCATCAGTTTTGGCTGCAGCTTTGCTCTTGGTTTTGGTGTCTTTCGCAGGAATGTAGAGCTGGGAACCCTTATGTTTCTGCCTTGCCATAGTAAACCAAGCTGAATCTGAGACGTAATAATCCAACTGCCGACCTGAGAAAGGAATAAAAAGCATCAGAATGGAAGCAAAGCAGACGAGGGTTTATCTGTTGGGGAGTTACAATGATGTTCTAAATGGAATCCTTATTAATTGTCAAATGAAAATAAATAGACATCAAGTAGAAAAGAATCCTCTTCTTTTGTGCTCTCTCTACAACCTGGCAAGGTAGGAATCCCTTGGGTATTTATGCTGTGCTTAGCCACAACGGTGGCATATGCCTGTCATCACAGGACTTGGAGGCTGAGGCAGAAGGCCCACTGTGAGCTTGAGGTCAACCTAGGCTACATAGTGAGTTCAAGGCCAGCCTTAACTACACAGCTATACATTGTCCCAAAATAACAACACTCCAAAGAAAACAAAAAACACTGCTCGAAAGAGACCACAGTGACCCTTTACTGAATCCTTTCCTCCCTTTGTCTCCCCAACCTCAAATCAGGGCAAGACAACTGTTGTGAGATAGGCTGGGACAGTTCCTACATAGTCAGAGGCTTAGGCCATTGATGTTATTATTATCGTGGGGGGGGGTACCGGGGATTGAAACTGGGACCTTGGGCTTCCCAGGCAGGTGCTTATGCAGCTGAGCTATCTGCCCAGCCCTGGGCCACTGATGTTATGCCTCTAACTCCAAGGAAAATATTATGGAATCTGTTACTGCATAATCCTTCTTGCAGGTGTGGTTACACAGGTGTGGCTAGAGGTATAGTTAAGGGGCCGGGGAGATAGCTCAGTAGAATAAGCGCTTGCCTGGCAAGTGCAAGGGCCTGAGTTCAATCCCCGGTTCTGAAAAAAAAAAAAAAAAACTACAGTGGAGTTATAGTCAAGACTATGTGTGGGTGAGAGTGAAGGCACAAAGGATTGGGAAGGGAATCATGCTCAAAAGATTACCCAGCTCTGAATTCCTGACATTCCATATAAGTGAAGAAGCTGTACAATTACATTTACAGTACATTACGATTTCAGGCCAAGAATCTGAACATGGTGCTTTTAATGAATTGGCCTTTAAAATTCCACATGGAAAAAAAATAAAATTCCACATGATCATTAGGAGGGGTATAGTACATGTAAAAGCATTTTGATAAAGCATACTATTCCACCAAAAAGTATGAATACACAGTTGATGGGGCAGCAAAATATGGGGAGATGGACACCTGTCCATTATGTGATGTGGGGGGTATGGCTGGCACAGCGCCCTTCTGGCACAAGGAAGATTTGAGATTAGCTACCTCCGCATCTGTGAATTGAGAATGGGGCACTACTCTGCCTCCAAATCCCCAAGCCAGCCCTATCAAAGCAACACAGTATAGAAGGTTAGAAATAGATTCCCAGACCCCCGTTTAAGGCTTTGCTTTCCAAATCTTTCCTCCACTTGGAACCTACTTGCCCTGGAGCGCTAAAATTCTCACCTGGGGGCTTGTAAATTGGATGCTTCCTGGCCATGCCTTCGTATTTGCCTCTGTGACGTTTCTCCACAAAGGCAGATGGTGCGGTGGGGCTGTCTATAGTATTTGGGAACCCCTTTGAAGCATCTCTGTTTATTTGCTGTTCTCTGCTTCCACTGGATGAAATTAGGAAGGAAGGAATCTGGCTAAATCTATTTGGTTTCTCACTCTTATACTTGTGTGGAGAAGACATTCTTTTCAGTTGGGCTCCAGAAAGATTTCCAGTATTAGCTTCATTGGTGGGTAAGTTTACATGACCACCATTATTTCCATCACCACTTGGATGAATTTCTTCCTTATAGTAAGTATCCACAGAAATGGGTACTTTCCAGGTAGGAGCAAAGATAATCTTCTCTGACTTAGTTGATGAGGTTGACATTCTCTTAGTGAAATCTTCAGAGCCTTGGCTGTGTTTCTTGGCTTTCTTTGGAGAAACTGGGTCTTTAGGCAGGGACAAAGCTCTAGGACTGTTCTCAACAATGATTCCCTGAGCAGCAGCATTCTTGAAACTTGAAGAAACCTGTTGCTGATACTCAGCACTTCCAAAAGCTTGGGAAGGATGAGGTTGGTCCTCCGTAAGAGTGCTCCACTCCACAGGAACATTCATCAAGACTGTTGGTGGCAGGAATTCAGACCCATGCAAGGCTTTGGAAGGGTATCTGGAAGGCAGCTGCTCTTCAGAACTCCTCCACTCTTCAGAAGAGCTGTCAGAAACTGAGAACTCTTGCTTGTACTTAAACTTCTCTAAGGCTTTTCTAGAAGGTATTTGCCATCTAGAATGGCTCCATTTCTTAGGTGCCCTCTCTGAAAGTGACAGACCTTCTTGTAGGTCTGCAGGGCCCCCTAGGGATTTTAAAGCATGCTTCAAAGAAATGTTTTTCTCACTGTCAGCATTCTCCCAATCTGAGAAAATTTGGCACTCAACTTCAGGCTTCAACAAAGTTTTGGATGGAAGATTTGGAGCCAGAGGATCCACATACATTTCTCTCTCAGTATCAGGGTTCTCTGAAAAGATTTGCTGTGCCATGAACTTCACATATGAGTGGGGAGGATTCTTGGGAAGCAGCAATTTCTTAGAAAGGCTTGCTTTATCAGCAGTATTCTCTAGGATGGAGGGTATTTCCTGAACTTTAGACCTCACTAGGAGATAGGTTGAATGCTTGGGAGACAGTGACTCCTCAGAAATGCCTCTCTCAACTGTAGCACTCTCAGAACTTGAGGACGTTTTCTGAACTTTCTGTCTCATAGTGGTCTGGGAAAGATGTCTGGGAAGCTCCCTATGAATGTCCCTTTCTATGGCAACACTCTCTGGACCTGCAGAGACCTGTTGCTCAAATTTAGGGTTCACCCACAGCTGGAAAGGGGGTCTGGACAAACCTGATGCCATAGGAGCACCCCATTCCTCAGAAGCATTCATTGAATCTGAGATTTCTTGCTTGAGTTTTGGTCTCACCAGAGGCTGAGAATAGTATATGGAAGGCTCCACGTCCACAGAAATTCTCCCCTCAGTTGCAGTGCTTTCCTGATCTACAGAGACTTGTTGCTGAAGTGTAGAGCTTGCCCATGGCTGGAAAGGGTGTCTGGGGGACATTTGCTCGTCATAACCGCTCCACTGTCCAGAAGTGCTCCCTGATCCTGTGGAGACTGGTTGCTTGATTACTGACCTCTTCAGGGGCTGAGAAGTCACTCTGGAAGGCTGTGGATCCACAGAAATGCTCCACTCAATAGCAGAATTCTCCAGACCTGTGACTTGCTCAAATGTAGGTTTCAGCCACGGCTGCACGTGATGTCTGGGCAGTGCTGACTCCTTAGAATCTTCCCACTCAGCTTCAGTGTTCTGTGGACTCACAGAATCTTGTTGCTTACATTCAGGGCCCATCCACGTCTTGCAGGTGTGTCTAGCAGGCACTGATTCCACAGCACCACACCATTGTGCAGAAGTGCTTTCTGAGTCTAGGCTCATGTGTGGCTGGAATTTAGGCTTTACCAAAGGGTGATAATGGCATCCAAGAGGCAGCTGCTCCACAAAAATGCCCTGTTCAACAGCAGTGCTGTCTGAGTAGATTGGTTGGATTTGAGGATTGGTGAGAGAGTATTTGCTGTACCGTGGCTCCACAGAAATGACCTCAGAAGCAATATTTTCTGAACCTAATGACAGGCTTTGTTGAACGATGCAGCTCATCAAGGGCTGAGGGAGATGGCCAGGAAGCAGTGGTTCCACAAAAATGCCACCTTCTTCTATAACTTGGCTCTCTGGAGAGGAGAAAACTTGTTCAACTTGAGGGCTTACCCACTGCGGAAAAGTGTGTGACGGATGCCTTAGGGCCACATAAATCCGCTGCTCAACAGGAGCACTCTCGGGATATGCAGAGGCTTCTTGCGCAACTATTGCTCTTGTCAGGGGCTGAGAATATCTGGGAGGCAACACCGCCATAGAAACTTCTTCCATAGATGTAATTCCCGGGCCTGAGGAGGATTTTTCCTCAGCTTTAGGATTCATTAAGTAGTTTGAAGTCATTTTGTGAGGCAGTGGTTCCATAAAACTGCCCCGCTCTGTAGCACTTTCATGATCTGCAGAGACTAACTGCATAACTTTGGAATTCACCCACGGCTGGAAAGGGTGGCTGGGAGTCACTGGCTCCACAGAACCAAGCTGTCCTTCACAAACACTCACTGAAGTGGAGGAGGTGTGTTGCTGAACAATAGGCCTCACAATGGACTGAGTAGGGCATTGGGAAGGCATCTGTTCCTCACTAACATTCTCTGGAACTGAGGGCACTTCTTGCTCATCTTCAGGCTTTTCTAAGACCTGGTTGGGGTACTCATGAGGTAGACCTTCCTCTGAGCTTGGCCATTCCTCAGCATTGTCAGAATTTGTAACAGAACTGTTTGATTCTGTGGAGATTTCTTTATTCTCAGGCACCAGCAATTCTTCTGAAGGACACCTGGGAGCCAGCTGCTCCTCGAGAAAACTTTCTGATTCTGAAAAGATTCCTTTACTCTCCCCTGAGGGGGAAGAGTTAGTAGGATCCACTTCCTTCAAAGAACTCTCCCTGTCAGCAGGACTCTCTGTCTCTGAAGAGCTTTTTTCAGCTTCAGACTCTCTCAAGAACTGGGAAGAATATCCAAGAGCCAACTGCTCTTCTGCACAGCTCAAATCCACAGCTACATCTTTGAATTTTTGGATGTCTTTTTGTTCATCTTTAGGTTTCTTCGAGGACTCGAAAGAATGTTCAGTAGCCAACTGCTTCTCAGAATCATTCCCTTTCTCTAACATGCTCCTTGAATCTGGAGAAACATTAGCAGTTTCAGCGTTCCCCATAGAAATGCCTCCCTCCTCTACTGTGGTATTTGTTGTTTCTGAAACACTCACTGTGCAGGCCTGGGGAACATTTACCAGGGGCTTTTCTTTGCAAACAATTGGGACATTCTCTGTTTCAGAGTGGGAATTTTGCAAGCCAAAACTGGAAGCTTCTTCGTCTTCTGACTGGATAGGAGAAGGATCCCTAAGCACCTGAGCCTCTGTGGTTATTAAAATAATGGTCTCTTTTTGGGTTGTTGAAGGTGTTCCCACCACTGGCAAAACAATTTTGGATTCTGTCTTTTGGGCTACAGTAGCCCCATCTTCATGGTATGGTTGTGGGCCGCTAACCATTGACTTTTGCATGTCTTCTTCAACTGTGAGCTGTGCTTTTTTGGCTTCAAAGTCTCCCCCAGCATCTCTCCTTTTCATGTCAGTTTTATCTGAAAGTAGCTCAAGAGGGGTAGTGATATCTGCTTCTGAGGTTGCCAGCTGCTCTGTGACTTGCTTCTCCAAAGGCAGGTACCAGGAAGGACCATGCCTGGTAGTCTCATTGGTAGATGAGGACACAGCTTGGTTGTTTGGGTCATGACTTTTACTGAATTGTATAATGCTCTTTCCTTTGGATCCATATTCATTTGTTATTGAAACGCACGTTCCTGTTCTTTTACGTCTTCTGCCATATGCTGCTGACATTGAGTTTCTCAGATTCCCAGGAGCATTAGGTTTTTTAGTCTTATTTCTTGTCTTTTGATCATAAGTCCCAGAACTGTCACTCTGTTCCTGGCCTGAGGAGTCTATAACAAATAGAAGTGAAAAAATAAGAAATGTGTGCTTTACGCTTCCTAAAACAAAAATACTTGGCCGTAGCCCAGTGAGTACCTATTTGTTCCTCAGTTCCCTAGTATAAAGGAGAAGCTCCTCGGAAGACAGAGTGCAACTTGACTACTATTGAAACTTTCTAAAAAAAAAAAAAAGAAACTTTCTGCAGTAGGAAAAATTTAAATCAAAGGTAAATTTAAATTTCATAAACTGATTCCAGGGCTGGCTCAACATTTTAACGCTACTGTGGTCCACTATTAGAAGTGAGACACATCAAGAGAAAAACTTTGAGCTGGGCATGATAATGCAAGCCTGTAATCCCAGAATTCTACATTCTGGGATTATAGGAAGCTAGTAAGTTGAAGCACAGCCTAGGCAATTTAAAGATTTCATGAGTCTCTGTCTAAAAATAAGAAATAGAAAAGAGTTAGAGATATAGTTCAGTGTGAAGGCCCTGATTCAATTCCCAGGGGATGAGGGGGACAAATTTTAAACTCATAATGATTATCTTTGATGAAATTGACTGGGGCAGTCAGAAGGGTTACTTGTGTTTTCTGATTAGGATTTTAATATTCTACCTGATATTTATCTGAATTGCTTGACATTCCATATCATGTGCTTGTATGCTTTATTTTTCAGATGCGTCAACAGGAGTTGTCTGGGAGATAGGATTATGGCCTCCTTTTCTTTTATTTTCTACTCTTGTGAATTATAACAATCCCATGCAACGCATGTGTAAGCAATACTTGATCACCTTAACAATTGCATCAGTCCACAGGCTTTACAGCAAGCGCACAAGATAGCAGCTATCCAGACTGATGCCCAGGCCGGAGGCCCCTCCTTGCGCTGCCTCTCTCACATTTGCTGTGTCCCTGGCTCCATCTAGTGGTACCATAAGGGGACATAGCATTGAGAAGAGCTGGCTGTGCTCCAAGCTATTCATTCCCCTTACGGAATGCCAACCAAAGCATGTGCTTCTCTTAACTACTGATTCAGATGACAGAATATCAATGGTAACTATTAAAAATAAACCAGACAAAAGATTAATCATCTAAGCTTCCTTTTTTTCTTTTTCTATTTTAGTTCAGGGTCTCACTACTAGATTGGATTCCTAGTGATCCGCCTGTTTTCAGCCTCCCAAGAGCTGGGATTACAGGCGCACGTCATCAGGCCCAGTCTCAATCGCCATCTCAGCACTCCCTGGGGGCGGAGCCAGCATTGTACACACCAGGGATAGAACCCTGGCCACTGTATCTGCCTAAGCAGGCATTTTAATCCACTGAGCTATTTGGTCGTCCCTAAGCTTCCTTTCTTCCCCTTTCTTTCCTTCCTTCCTTTCAAGGAAAATTGTGTAGCTCTGCTTTCATGGTGATGTGTGTTTAGGGTTATCCTGGGTCTGAATCCACATGTGAAATCTTTTGTGGGAAAAACCTAAAATAACTATTCAATTTAATTTGTGGAACTAGATTTTTGCTTTTGTCAACTATTTCTTGAAATTAAATTGCCTGCCACCAAGGTTATCTACCTGTAGCTGTACAAGCCCTCTTTGCCCATGAAGATAGGAATGGGTCTCACTGTTGACACAAGGTTTTTCTCTACTGGGACAGAAAGGAAATTTTTCAAACAAACAAACAATCATATTTTTGCAAATTATGTTATTCTTTTCTGAGTCTGTTTTTGAGAAAGAACATTGAAAAGGCAATCACTAACTACACTCCAACACCTCACTCTACTCAGCGTGCACATTGACCTCAAAGGAGAAGAAACAAATTTACAAACCGAGGATCTCTCTGGTGGACTTCACTGAGGTAAAATAGTCACCTGGGCATGGTCCTTCACCTAAACCCCACACAGGTGGTACCTGCATTAGTTCAGCAGATGGAATGGAGAAACTCTCACCTCTCTGTATGCATCTTACATTGAAAGTTCTCTGAAAACCAAGGGCAGTAGTCCTGGGTAACTCTCGTCCTGTCGCATTGTACTGTGAAATGAAGCCTGGGACACATATTTCTCGGTGAGATTGAAGATGTACCAACCTGCACTTTCTATTTTCACCTTCTTTGGGCCAGTTTCTTCAGCTTCGGTCGGGCTATGTGCTCCTTCAGAAACCACTGAAACATTTGGCTCCTCCTGATTTGGTTCCACCTAAAACAGGGAAAGAGCTTGAGTTTCACTGATGCATTCTCCATCCATGGTTGCTTCCCTCACATAAGTTCATAAGAGTACTGTAAAGATAGAAGTTAGTTCTGATGGCATGCATGTAGAGGTCCCTTGGGATCATTACACACACTGGCAGTGATTTGTCCAGATCTGGAGCTCCTTTGTCTAAATAATATGCTGCACTGGTTGCTCTAAATCACCTTGAAACTACTGAATCATGCTAGAAGCCCATAATCTGAAAAGGAGGTTACTGGGCCTGACGACAATCTACCTTTGGCAGCACTGAAATGCTCAGACTTGCCTCACTGGACCATGATCCAAACTCAAATTTGGCTTGGCTTCTTTGCAGGGAATTTAGTGAAAATATGAATTATGTCTTACCAGTTCAAAAGAAGAAAGAGGTTTGGGGTTTTGTTCAAAGAAACGACAGATGAAGAAGGATTTAGCCTTTACGCTGAATGGGTTGAAACTGGCTTAGTGTAAACAAGGTTTTCAGATAACCCACAGGCAGCTCTGGAATTATCAAAGTAGCACTGCCCTAAACAGTATCTGCTGTTTGCTTCCTGTAAGCGCTTTATGGCAAATGTTTAAAGATAAATGTACAACTTTATAATTCCATTCACAGTCCTTATACAAATTCAGCGCAAAATTACTTATTTTTTAGTAAATGAGGTCCAATCCACCTGAATTTAAATCTCTTTTCTAACATTTACTAGCTGTGTGACCTTGAACAAGTTGCTCTAAATTTCTGTGTTCACATCTATAAATTAAAGGTCAAGAGTCCCACAGCACTTGTAGATCTAAGAGATTCCAGAGCAAGAGGAAGTGGTAGAAACTCCTGCATCATAAATGATTCTGGACCTTTTTAATGTATTTCCCTGCCAGGCGTGGTGAACACACACCTATAATCCCAGCACTCAGGAGGCAGAGACAGAAGGATCCTTGTAATTTCGAGACCAGTCTGGACTACAAAGTGAGCTGAAAGCCAGCCTGTGCTGTATAGAGAGACCCTGTCTCAAAAAGACAATATATTTCCCTATGTGCAGAAGAGTCACAAGGATGAAGTAGATGTCTCTGCTCTCTTCAAAGATGCTGCCCAGACCTTTCCTCAGTTACGTAATGCAGAGGAAGAATGGTAGAAGGGACATAGTGAGTGTCCCTTAGCCAACATCTCCTGCCTTCCAGGTTTGCAGTCAGGTGTCTATGAGGGATAAAGCACATACAGTTTTATGCCTAGTAATTGGTCACCCCTTTGCATGACACCAAACCAAGATTGTCTCAGGGTCACTAGAAGTCCTTCCAAGAGCCCCTGCTCCTCCAATTGTTCTTTTAACTTATACTTTTCCCACTTTCTAAAGCAAAGTTGCAAGGTCTACACTAGAAGGCATGTGATACAGTAAAAAGTGGACTGGGCTAGAAGCAAGCAGACTGGATTCTAGCCTTAGCCAGCAACTGTCGCAGTGTTTGGGAAGGTGCCTGGACTGCTTATGGCTGGATGTTTTCCGTGTAAAAATGCACGTACTGCACACTCTTTCAGTGTTTTCCTGCTCTGACTGGTAGCCTTTTATCTTTTTTTTTTGTTTTGTCTTGGTTTGGGTTTTTTTGGTGGTACCAGGGATTGAACTCAGGACCTTGTGCTTGCCAGACAAGCACTTATTCCACTGAGCTATCACCCTGGTGCCTTTTACCTATTTAGCCCAGAATCACTGTGGAATTGGATAGTTGACGAAAGTGAAGGTTTAAGCTAACGCACACATCCTTTTAAATTCCAACATCTTTAAATTCTTAACATTTCATGAAAATGTTTTGCAAAAATCATTAGTTCCTTATCTTCTTAAACAGGGATCAAGGAACATAATCAAATGATTCTTAATGACTTGGACAAACAGGGAACATTATTTATTACATCAGGCTAAATTAATGTGCAGTCCTTCAGGACTATCAAGATAGCCAAGATGTTGTTTTGTTGTTGCTTTTGCTTTTTGTTTTGTTTTGTTTGAGACCGAGTATCACCGTGACACTCAGGCTGGCCTTGAACCTGCATCATCCTAACTCCCTGTCCTGCATAGCTGGGATTACAGGCATCCACCACCATTCCCAGGTTGGGCAACATTCTTGATTTCTTATACTAAGCAACCTTTGATTGTTCCTATTCTCTCTCTGTCTCTCTTATCAATTGTCATGTCTCTATGTCTGATCTGTGGCCATGGTCTCATTTCATTTTTCTTTGCTTTGCTTTATTTTTTCTTTCTTTTTCCTCCCTTCTCCTCCTCTCCCCTCATTTTCCTCTTCCTCTCTCTCTCTCTCTCTCTCTCTCTCTCTCTCTCTCTCACACACACACACACACACACATGCTGTGGACTACACTCACCTAGGCAAGTGTTCTACCACTCACCTACACCCATAGACCATATTTGTAACACAGTAAGTTTGCCTAATATAGCTCTGATTGCTAGAAAGCAGTGTGGCAGGACTCTATGGCATCTATGTGAAAGTCTGGAAGGATTAATAGCTGACTTCTGAATGCCTAGAGCTGTAGATTTGAGCTGCAAAAGAGTGAGTCTGTGTTTTAGTTTGTAACTCCTGGGATCACCTCACTAATAACTAAAAAAATCCTGATCTGAGTTGTCATGAATAACCTCTACAAAGAAGGCTGGGTGGCTTCCCAGATGCTAAGCCAATAAGCAGGTTTGGGGGCATTAAATCACTGTTTCTGTTTTCTTCATTCTCTTTTATATAAGCTCTAGTGGGTAAGTTACCCCACCTAATTGCTCACCCCTTTCAGCATGTCAATGCATGCCCTTCACTTTGCAAGCCATATGGCTTTCCCAAGCCATACCATTTCCTAGGAGCACTTTGCAGAGCTTGACCTCATCTTTTTTTACACAAGAGTTTATTCCAAAGTCTCTTGAAGTACTTACAGTTGCTTGAAGACTCTTCTTTTGTAGTTCCCAGAGGTTTAAATCTGTTTTGTGTTGAGTAGCTAAAGAATCCAGACAGCTCTGGTTGGTGGCTAGGGTAGGGGCACACTCAGTCGAAGGTTGTGAGTAATCAGATTCAGATGATGAGTCAGAGAAACTCTAGAAAAGTGAAAGAAAATAAGTGAACCAACCTATATGCCATCACTGGTCTCAAAGTTGGAAATGCTTCTGTGAGAATTCAAAAAAAAAAAAACACTTCCTGAACCACTGCCCCCTTTTCCTCCCCTTCTGATCAGTGGGCTCATTAGAGTCAAGGTCCACACTTCCCCCGTAGATAAAAGCAAGAAACAGGAAGAAGTTTGTGTTGCTTCCTTGCTTACAAAGTATTCAGGTTCAAGCCTAGCAACTGAGTAAGATCCTGCATCAAAATAAAAATATCTAAAGATGTAGCTCAGTGCAAATGTCCTGGGTTCAATACCCAGTAGTGCAGGGAGAGAGGGAGGGAGAGAAAGAGGGAAAGTGGGGGAGAGAGAGAGAGAGACACAGACAGAGACACAGACACAGAGAGAGATAGACACAGACAGAGACAGACAGAGAGAGACAGACACAGAGACAGAGAGACAGACACAGAGAGGACGGGATGAGACAGGACGAGAAGAGCAGAGAAGAGGAAAGGCTTCCAGGAGTGCCCCATGAGATAGGAGCACAAGCACTTAATGTAGTTCATAAGGTTTGAGGATTATGAGAGCGTCTGGCTGCCTGAGAAGCACAACCTGGGTCAGTGAAATCCAGCAAAGCTCTGGGATTTCTACATTGGAAACAGATGCAGGCTGGGTGGAGGGAAGAAAATCAGGTTGGAAGAGGGCTTTCACATTCCATCCAGGGGCTATGAGGAGACAGGAGCCTAGAATGAAAGTGGTACTGGTTCCCTAAGGGATAATACTTGTCGCCACCTTCCGCCTTCTGCCAGTAGGGGCCAGTATTTCAGAGAGGAAATCATAAGGCAAACCTCAGTCTTCTCTACTTGTGTGTTCTGATCATCTGCTTAGCTCCCTAGCTGCTGTGCTGAGTGAGAAAGCAGAAGAGACTGGACTTGTGGGGAGGTATTTGGGAATATAAGAGGTAGAAATCATAGTTTACAAGCAGCTTGAAGAAACGTCTATCAAAATCAGCACATGCATCTGGGACGATGATTAGAGGCACTTCTTTGGGTTTTGTGGTTGCGATAGTTGTTACCTGTGTCCCATGGGTTTACCACTGTCAATAGTAAATCTGAAATCACGGCAGAAAATAAGAAACTTTCACACCTGTAGGTGGTTGCAGTTTCACTGTAGCAGCACAGATTCAACTTTCTGCCTGCCAGCCCAGCCTCTAGCCTATGTTAACCTGATGCAATTCTTGAATTTATTCATACAGAATTTGTGTTCCAGAAAGAAAAAAATTTAAACTGGTGCTTTGAAATGCCAACCCCCTTTCCCCTCAAGGTACCAGGGATTGAATCTGTGGCCTTTGATCTTCCTTTTGTTTTTATTTTGAGATGATGTCTCAACAAGTCACTAAATTGCACAGACAGGGCTTGAACTTATGATCCTTTAGCCTCAGCCTCCCAGAGCTTGGGATTATAGGTGCATGCCATAGACACTGGTTTGAAAGGTTGATTATAAATAATTTAACTTTGTGAACTTACTCAAATCAATAGAGAGAGAAAACTAACGTGTCTTAAAATGTGATCTAATTTTGTTAATTGCCTTCACAAAGGAACCTCTAAGAATATTATTTTAAAATATACAGAAAAAGAAATAATAAGAAGAATATACTAAAAATAATTAAACTCCAAATATGGTAACAATGGAGGGAATAAGGAACAAAAACAGATATAAGGTGTAGAGACAAAAAAGCAAACAGTAGAAGTTCTTACTTGTTAATAAATTAGTATGTTTCAACAGACTCTCCAGTTAAGAGTCAGAAAGTGGCAGAATGGATTTGAAAATTCGTCTGTTTTTATGATGTTTACACGAGATACCCTTTTTCCATCTTTTTGACACAGGGTCTCACTATGCAGTTCAGGCTGGCCTTGAACTCACTTTGTAGCCCGGACTGGCCTCCAACACGAAGTGGTCCTCCTGCCTCAGCCTCCTGAGTGCGGGGATTACAGGCACACTCCACCATGCCCAGCAAGAGATGCACTTTAGATCCAAAGACAAACAGAATGAAAGCGAAAAGGATGATAAAAAGGTATTCCAAGATAATGGCAACCAAAAGAGAATTATGGTGGTTATATTAATATTAAACAAAAAAAGGCAGTTAAAATTTTTACAGGAGACAAAGACAAACACTGTATGTTAATAAAAGAATCATTCTATTAGTAATACACAGCAATCATATGTACACATCTAATAACAGACCCACACCTATAAACAGAAATTGATAGAAAGGAAGAAAAAAGTACATAGTTTTATAATGTTTGGAGACCTCAGTATCTTACTATCAATAAGGAATATACAGTATAATAGAGTAAGAATTCTACTGAATACCACTTTCTATAGTCTAAAAAGCACTAGCTGTAACTCTGTTGCTAAGTAATTAATTATGTCAGCCCACCTATATCCTATATAAGATCCCTTCCACACATCTCACTGTATGCCTGTGTATTTGGCTAAGAAATGATACCAGCACCATGACTAATTATAAATACTTGACTACACTGGTTGATGGGACGAAATTATTAAAGTGTTTTCAGGGATCATTTTCAGTGTGTCACCACCAAAGAATGCTACAGGGTTATAAAGTGTGTAAATTTCTGTAAAACATTGACTAGATAAATGTGTTTTCTTTCTTTTTTCCTTGAATTTTTTATTGGTACATTTTATATATACATAGTGATAGCATTCATCATAGGGGAATTGTACCTTGCTTCAAACAATAGTTTCAAGCATTTTTTTAAAGAACTAAAATTTCTGAATTTAGTTCAAGTTATAATACCACATTTCCAAGAAAAATGAACCTTTTGCAAAGACATTTAAATAAAATCATACCAAAACGCACAAAAATGAAATTGTCCAAAACTTCTTATAAAGAAGAAAATCATTAAAGCATATACATAAAAATATTAGCTAGGAAGAACAAAATTAAATGGCATCTTATTCCACATTAGAAAGAAAAAAAAAGACAAAGGGTGTAAGAAACTAGATTAAAGAACTGAAAGAAAAGATCTGTTCTCTTTGAATTTCATACTTAGCAAACATACCTTTGAAAACTAAAAGTAAGATTTTCTAGTTATACAAACTTGAAATATTTTAATACCTCCAGAAGTAGCATATAAGAAATAACAAAGAGCATAATTCAAAAGGCAAGAGAAGTTGCAGTATGCTGCTGGATGAACAATAAAGAACTCTCAATATGA